TTTTTATCACAAACTGCTTATGCTCAAACAATCCTTGATCAAGCCAACCTCCAACAATGCAACTCCCTGGCCAATCCGCTCACTACAAAGCTTCCCCAAAACTTTCAACCTGATCCTCATCTATCGGATCCGGCACTCTATAGACGCCTTACCGGATCACTCCAGTACCTCACCATTACTAGACCAGACATCGCTTACACTGTAAACCTTCTATCCCAACATATGCACAATCCGATGGAGCAACACGTCTACTGTCTCAAACGGCTGCTTAGATACATCCAGGGAACAAAGCATTTCGGTCTACCGATAACTATCAGCCCGCTTAAACTCAGATCGTTTTCCAACGCGGACTGGGCCGGTGACCCAATCTCAAGGAAGTCAACATCGGGCTACTGTTCATTCCTAGGCGATACACTCATTTCCTGGACAGTCAAGAAACAACACACGGTGGCACGATCGTCCACCGAATCTAAGTACAGAGCTCTGGCCGCGGTTACTGCAGATATACTATGGCTTCGGCAAATTATTCAGGACTTCTCTATACCTCTTTACACTCCAACTGAATTATTTTGTGATAACATGTCGGCAATTGCCCTCGCTAATAATCCTGTTTTTCATGCCAGGACCAAACACATCGAGATAGATTAACGCTTCCTTCGTGATCACATCAACAACAAAATCATTGCCCTTCTCCCGATAAGCACTGTGGACCAAGTTGCAGACATCTTCACAAAATCATTGTCCACGCCAAGATTTCAGACTCTTCGTCTCAAACTGACGGTCGTCCTCGACCCGTCACTTTGCCGGGGTGTATAAGAGTCCACATATATAAACTGCTTAAATATCATTAAGCAGAATGTAATAGGATAAGCTTACATAGTTTCTGAGGAATATCTGATACCTATAAAGCTCTGTATCTATATATAGGTCTTACCTTAATGCTAATAAGACAATTCTACTTTTCCTATTTCCCATCTTCTGTCTCTGTTTTGTTCTTGTAATCTGCATCGACACTCCGTGCTCCCTCTTTCAACATTTCACATGTAAATCATATATCAAATCCTACATAAATCCTTTATTCATTGATGGCTAATGTTAGAATTTATAGCCTCAAAACAACACGTGTCCCCAAGATTTAGGGATGTGATTGCTTTCTTTTCTTCTTATTATTATATTGGTTCTTGACATGAAAACGGAAGTAGCTAAGGAGTTATTTGGTTGTAAGTATTTAAAATGCAAATATATTATAAATACAATGTAGTCTAAATACGGCGTATTTGAAATATAGAATATTATTTATTTATATTTGGTGGGAATTAAAAAATGAATCTAATTACTAAAATAATAATAATAAAAAAAAAACCTAACCATGGCACAAGTTTCACTAAGATGTTGGAGTAATTAAAATTTTTTTTGAGGGGGGGGCAATTGCCCCCCCTAAGCTCTTAATAGTTCCGCCCATGTTTGTGAATCCATCAGCAACTTGATCATCAGTAGAATATCACTTGATTTTAATAATTTCTTTTACCACAACTTCTCTCTCAAAATAATTTTGAAGTTCTATATGCTACGATCTACCATGAAACACCATTTTCTTTGTCATAGATATTATGGTCACAAAATATGTCGGTCACCTTTAATTGAGGTGGTTGAAAATCTTATAATATTCTCCTTATCTTGATTTCTTGGCATGATGCTGATGAAGCTGCAATATATTCAACTTCTGAAAAAGACAATGCATTACTAATTTATTTCTTTATTCTCAAGGATATTACCCCAGACCCAAAATTGAATGAATATAAATCCACTTGTATTATTCCTATCTTCATTAGAACCTGCCTAACACTATTAATAAAACCAACTAAATTAAAGTTAAAAACTGATTTAAACTAAATTTCCTAATTGCTCGGCTCCCAAATATAGTGAAGAATACATTTGGCATCTCCAAGATAATGTGAAGAAGAATTATGCATGAACCTTGAAATAAGATTAACATAATACATAATATCATACATTGTATATGTCAAGTACACACAATTTCTTTAAATACACTCTCATTAGCCTTAGTTGTACCATTATTTTGAACTAGCTTTTCATTTGTATTCATAGGTGTTAAAAAAGTCTTGCAAGTCAACATATTATACTTTTTAGTGACTCCGGTACATTTCCTACTTGAGATATAAAAATCTCATCATCTATTTGAATAATTTGTAAAAAAAAAGCTATATATATATATATATATCAGAGATTGTGGATCAAGCAATCTATGATCATGAGATCGTTGGATACATCTTGTCAAGCCACTCGATTTGATTATAAGCTGTTATATTTGAATGTCATTTGGTCATCCAATTAATGCTTTGAATCTTTCAAGCAAGATTTTATTCTTTGAATTGGACTCATTTGGGCTTAGGTTGGACCAAATTTTGTGTCGTTGGGTTCATCTCCACGAGATATTCAATTTGATTATATGCTTGCTAAAATTAAAACCAACCCAAAATTATAATAAATCAATTCAAAGCTATGATATATTATTTATTCTCACTTTGATTCTTAATATCTAACTAAATAAGAAAGAGGGGTTGTTTGTAATTTAATTAGTTAAATTAATCATTTTTGAAAGTTTTTGTAATATATTTAAGTAAATTTGTATTTTAAAAATTTCTATATGATAGAAATATTATAGTAGCAGTGAGTTTGTCCCCAAAGATTAAAAAGCATCTAATAAAACTCAAATAGAAAAAAAAATTAAAAAAATAAAAATAAAACACAAATAGAAGTTAGGTACATTTATTTCTATCAGCTCTGTGCTTATTAGCGGGGTGGGCCTTTTTTGTTTGATTGGGCTTCAAGAAACCGGAAGGGCCCAATCTCAATCCATAGGACAATGGGCTATGAAATTTTTGATGACACATCACTAACTAATATTTTCATTAAAAACTTTCTTAATAAAAAATAAAATTGTTACGCTTTCTTAACAAACAATGGCCAACAAAATCATGAGGGATACCTATTAATCCTTAATAGTGAGGTGGAGCTCATCTAAGCTTATATAATTTATTATTACATCAATGCATATAATGTTTATCAAAACTCTTTTTTCACATAAAGCCCATTAGGAGTTCAAGCCTTCCCTATTTACACCATTATGAAGCCCATTAAGAGCTCAAGCCAGCCCTATTTACACCATCGTAAAGCCCATTAGGAGCTCAAGCATGCCCTATTTACACTATTCAAAATTTTGTGAAAATGACTTTTTGTGAATTTTTTTTTTATAAAGACAACCTTATTATTTATTATTTCTTTTTCGGCTTTTTTCTTAGAAAACGACAGCTCATCCGACGCATTATTATGAGTTGCAAAAAATAATTAATCCACAAATAATGATCAATAAACGACGTTTAGGAGGATATATGCGGCCAAATATGTTTGATAAAAAATTTCGTGATAAAATAAATAGTCATTTTATTTAAAATTAATATTTTTGGAGAAGATTAAAGTACAAATTTAGTAAACGATTTTTTTATTACTTCTTAAAATAGTCCTTTAGTTTAAAAAAAAATGTATACTAAAAATATGTTTTAAGAATCAGTAAGAAAACCGTCCTAAAACAACTTCGTTTTTGGTGCAGCATTATTACTTCTTTTTAAAGCAGCTTCTTTCTAGAATAAAAAATTTTAAACTAGATATTTTTGTACTAGAAAACTACTTTATAAAGTACTTAAAAAGTTGTCTCAAAGGAAACCTAAGTTTATTTACACATATTGAATTTATTTAAAAATATTATCAACATGAAAGAAATTTACTAAAAATAAAAATACTCTCATATTACATTTCTATGATTTTTTTTTAAGTATACAACTCTGCTAAGAATTATAACTTTAATATTTTTTTTAAATTTATTAAATGAATTAAAGATGATCAAAATATATCTTCACATTGGAGATGGTAGGGGTATTAATTTCGGGTCACGGGTCGGGTTCGGGTCTAACCCGAACTGACCCGGGCTCAAACGGGTTGACCATAACCCGACCCGGGTAGATAAACGGGTCGGAAATCCGAACCCGGACCCGATCCGGGTAGATAAGCCGGCGAGCAGCGATAAATTAACAACTAAAAGGTTTTGATAGCTATGAAAGTACGGACATAAAGCTATCCCAAATGAAGCCTACATTGATAATTCCGCATATAATTTTCCATTTTATAAACATTTAGTTAAAAAAGATCAAAGAATTAAGTTAGACATCTCCAACCTCTAGATAATGATGTTTAGTGAGAAAGGGAACATTGATATAAAAGAAATGATAAAAAATTACATATCCATAGGCTCTCTCCCTATGATTTAATTAATATGAGTGGTCCCTTATCAAGCTTTCTTTTCACACATTAGACTGCTTTCAATGCTTAGCTGTTTGATGGGATTACAATTTTTATTCTTTATATGATAATGCACAAAATTATTAAGAAATAAAGTAAATAATTGGAGCAAATTTAGAAAAAATATAGTCATTAAATTTATTTGAAGATGTATATAATATGCAACTAATTAATTAAGAATTAATGATTAATTATCGTAAAATCCATCAACGTAAAATTTAAGGCTTCATCTCGCACAATTTAATGGCGATTAATTAAAAAATTTTAAAAGCAGCAAATATGGAACATAAAAACTGAAATTTTTTTTTTGGGAAATTAAAAAAAAAAAAAAAAAAAAAAAGAATAGATAAAAAACCAGATTAAGAAGTACTGGTTTTTAAAGAAACCGTAATTTAATGATTCAATTTCTTTTGAAATTTTAATCAAAGTGGAAACAAGATAATTAAATTTTATTTTCAATAGAACTCCAATAATTACATTCCGGATTTGCTTATTTAAATTTTTTTTATTAAGCTGCTCCTTAAGATAATCATAATTTATACCTGTCATCTAAAAAAACATCAAATTATTTTGATTTTCTTTATAAGCAAAACTTTATCAAAATACTCATAACCATTGGGGAATGAAGACAAAAATACTATTTAATAATTTTATTTGAATTCTCTACACTACGAGAACATAAAAAACATGATTTTTTTTTTTTTTTTAAATATAGCAACCAATAAGCCTTACAGTAATCTATGTAATGTGTTTTTCTAATATCATGCCATCGAATAAATAGAGCCTTCACCAACATAACCGTTACAATTGGAGAAAGAAGAGAAAAATAATTGGCAAGTACAAAAACGGCCCAGGTTGAGAAATAGGTGGTGCCACGCCACTCCCAAACGCCATGGCCAGATATCCCGTAAGCCCACTGCCACGGCCGCCCATTGCTACACCTCCGCCGCCCCCATCACCACCACCACCATCGCCGCCGCCGCCACCGTAATTAGCTCCGCCATTACCTCCGCTCTGCCCTCCATTATCCCTGCCATTTTACAGTAATATTAGCAACAGAACTGAAATTTAAAGGCATAAGTTAGTATATCATTGCTTGAGGCTGATAGAGAAGATTTTGACAACATAAGTTGGTTAATTCAGAGTTTAAGAAGTTCAAAAATGACGCTTAAAGAAGTTAAGTATGAAAGGAGGAGTATCGCAGTACAACCAGAACAACTTTCACAAATAACTTTTAATCTTACTTTTGCTGAAAGAACTTTGATGTTTTTCATCTTTGTTTTTGATCGATCACAGGGCAACATAACAGCTGAAATGATTGAGATTAATAGGTGTTTTGAGTTTGTTATACAAAGCTTGTTTGAGTGAGATAATCAGTTGCGATAATAAGGATAAGATTAATGAGCAAGAGTTAAAGATTCAATAATTTAAGGACCGAGATTATGCTATACAGAGTCTAATTAGAGAGGTTCTTCAAGCAAAAATCAGCTGGAACGTATTGTTCAGATGTACTCAAATCTCTTTCTGAATGACTAAGTATGTTGTAATTGGCCAATTGAGAGATTATTTCGTGCGGAGACCGAACATAAAAAATCATCCGATCTTATCTCTATGAACAGTAAAAACACACTTATTGATCTTTACCACTATTTTACTGTTCATCGCTGCTGTTTTTTACTATTCACAGAGATAAAACTGGATGATTCTCTATGTTCGATATCAGGACGTAATAATCTCTCCAACGCATTAATGATTTAAATGGGACTAAAGCGCAGCATCGCTAGAACTTTTTTTTATCATTCGGGAAAGTCGCTATAAAACTTTAACTACTACAGAACTTGAAAAACAATTGGGCTCTCAGTCCCGGCAAATTATTGCATCAGGTCACCGGACGCGGAAAATAGGTTCAGACATCCAATAAAAATTTGCCACGTCACCTACGCTTTTGACTACACTTTTGACTTGCGCTTTAGGTGCGCTTTGACTGCCTTTACCTGCGCTTTTGATGCGCTTAATTTAAAATAATATTTTATTAATATTTGGACCTATCTCGCGTCCGGTGACCGGATGCAATAATTTGCCCTCAGTCCCAGCTATAATCCGTACAAAAATCATGTTACCCTCAAATTGACTATTTGTGTAAGCCTGTCCCACCATTTCAGAATAAAACGTTGGGCAATGGGGCTCACCGAAAATGTCTGTGCGGGTTGGTTTCAACGCGAAACGGACGATAGCCATTTATTAGAAAGCGATAAATACACCCCGTTAATGTGCTATCTACACCCACTCCTCCTCTTAACAGAGTAATACCACTCTGTTCGAGCTCGCACAATTACTTACGCCAAATATTTCACATCATATAAGATCACAGAAAGGCACTGTAGATGCAAGCGAGAAGATTGGAGCATCAGTAGGTGAAGCTGAGTTTGTCACTCGCAAATCCGGGACGGCATCTAAAGACCAATCAAAATATGTCACATCATTTTTTTTTTTACTCGGAACCGACACTAGGTATCGCTTCGTACCAGATAAAATTACGCATTCGGACTAATATCCGGACCATCCAGTATCCGCAAAAAATAATTTCTGCTCGCCACAGTCAGTAGAAAAAAGCTCTTTATAACCACCTCAATCTCAAATTGATTAAAAAACAATTATGCCCCCGCTCAAACACATGTAATAGTCAATCACAAAATTAAATTGAGAGTAGCCTGAACTCAACTGACTCCAATAATTTACACTTTAACTTAGGATTCATTTGTGACACTTTTCTTGCCGTTGTATACAATAATTTTTTAGTAAAAAAGTTAAAAAAAAAAAAGAAATGAAAAAAATATAGCCAACAGCAAGACTTTGGCTTTCTTATTGATTCTTAAAACATTTTTTTAATAAAAAAATTACTTTAAAAAATACTAAGAAAACAAAGTCAGCTCCTAACGAACTCAAAGACTAGGCAAATTATTGCATCCGGTCACCTGACAGAGAGATCCGTTCGGATCTCTCTCTGTCTACAGTAAAAGCGCAGCTACTGTAGCATACTTGCGCTTTACTGTAGATAGAGAGAGAACGGTTCGGATCTCTCTCTGTCAGGTGACCGGATGCAATAATTTGCCCAAAAACTAAGACTTCGTTTGGAATGACTTCTTTACTTCTTTTTAAAATAACTTTTAGTAAAAAATTAAAATTATTATACTAAAAGATTAGAAGACAACTCAAACTAGGCCTAAACGGTAAAACTAACTCTCATTGCACATCAGCTTATTTAAATCATTATTTATTTATTTATTTATTTTTGAAAAATCGGCTTATTTAAGTGGAATTAGATATCCTGATATTATTTATCTGTCGAAGATTCCCAGGAGCAAAAGCCTGTCAGTTCTCTGCGACAGCATTACCCATTCGCCCACGATATGCTTTGACTACCGAGACCACAAAGGTCCCAATCCAATTATATAACACCGCTATCCTCACCCCGAATTAAGTCAATTTTACGCGCTCAATCCAAAAATGAGAAGCGAGGGCAGTGAAAGTACCTCGAACCGCCGAGAACGCCGGCGTTGAGAGTGAGCTGGTCGATGAGCCCGACGGGCTTCGGCGAAACGCTGGAAGCCTTCGAATAGATCGTCTCCAAGCCATCTCCCGACGGAATAAAGAAAGCCCCGTTAACCATGATATCCCCCTCTGATCTCCAATTCCACCCGCTCCAATCCTTGTCATCACTGTCCACTCTCTTGGTCACCTGCAGCCAGCCATTAATCCACCCATTCTAAACCCTAAATCAAATTGTCAAATTATACCGACGAGCTGATAATTCTCTTACCTCCTTGGCGTTCGGATCAGGCGGAGCAATGTAGCGGTTCCCCTGACTATTCACAGTCGGATTACCGCTTCCGCCGATGGCGTACATTTCCCACTCCGTGAAATCGTTGTTAACGATATGGAAGTAGCCGAGGCGACATCGCGGCATTCGCTGGATGAGCTTCTCCCCGAAGCGGTTGAAGGCGATGGTGACCTGCATGCCTAAATCCGGCGAGTAGTTGTCGCTGTGGCCGAGCAGCATCACCTCGTTGTGTCGGGAGAAGTAGTTGTTCGAAATGGTGATGCCGGTGGATCCCATGATGGCGTCGATAAGGCCGTCCGCGCAGTTGGAGAGGGAGCAATGGTCGATCCAGATCTTGCGAGCGCCGAAGATGGAGATGCCGTCGCCGTCGGATCGGCTGCGGAAGCCGGTGTGGGTCGGAGAGGAGCGAACGTTGGCGTTGCCGGCGGGGACGCAGTCGTGGATGTGGAGGTTGTGGATGATGACGTTGGAGACGTATTGGAGGGTGATGCAGGCGCCGCCGGAGATGTGGACGTCAGCGCCGCGGCCATCGAGAGTCTTGAAGCTGTTAACGAGGAGCTCTTCGGCGAGACGGATGTTCATGTCGGCGGAGAAGACGATCCAAAGGGGGTCGTCCTGGATGGCTGCGTGGCGGAGCGTACCAGGGGTGGGGTTTACTGGGTCGTGGTCGGACGAGTCGGTGACGACGTAGATCCGGCCTCCCTTCCCGCCAAGCGCGTCGCGGCCAAAGCCAATGCCGCAGTCTGCAAGGCGCTGGCGATCGGATCGCCAGTCGGTGGTAGAGCACCGCCAGCAGTCGTCAATGGGGTTTCCAGTGAGGCATTGCAGTTGGCTGGAGAGGGCGCGCCGGCGGGAGAGCTCGATGTGGCGAAGGACGCCGCCGGCGACTGATTCAGGGTAGGGGTGGGAGGAGTTGGGGTTGGGGAGGGGATGGGCGAATGGGAGGAGAAGAATGTGGACGAACTGGATAAGTAGACTGCTCCGGAGGCGGAGCATTTTGCCGGCGGTGGCCGAGAAGTAGGGTTTTGGGTGTGGAGTGATTTGGTGAAGCCAAATGGGGCGGGGATTTGTTGTATCGGAAAAAGGTGCGAACTTTAAAAATAAGGATCGCTGCTATTGTATCGGTGAAAGTGGGTTTAAGCTTTTGTTTATTGGATGTAGTGGAACGAGATAAGAGGATGTAAATGCTACTTTGCTCGCAACTTGCAAGACTTGATTTAGATTACGATGAAATTCAATAAAAATGAAATATTCAAATATAATATCTAAGACAATTAAATTATTAAACCCCAACATCATAAATGTCCCACAAACACAATGATTGTTTAAGAAATATTTAGAGTAAATTCTAAAATAATAGACTTTTTTTTATGTGATTTAATATTCAAATGCCTTATCTTAATATTTAATCCAAATTTATAAAGACTTAAGTTTCATTTGAGACAGCTTTTTTATTAATTCTTAAAGTAATTTTTTAGTATAAAATTTTTAATTTTTATATTAAAAAATTATTTTAAGAAGCAATAAAAAAACCATCCCAAACAAACATAAAAAACCATCAGAAATATGTAGTGAGAGCTCTTAAACTCGCAAGTCTAATACATTCTCTTCTCATTACTTAAATCACCTCTCCCTAAATGGCAAGTTCAAACAGCTCCGACAATTAGTATTAAAGCATTAGCTACTCATTTGGTTTATCATTAAATTAAAGATCCTTATAGCGCATTTTTTGGATTTTGAATGTCCAAAAGGTGAAAGTTCAAAATATCATTTAATTTTCATCCAAATCTTTTAGAACAGGACTTTGGAGTGCAAGAAAACTATCTAACAAATGATATCAATGATCATTAGTTATTTTAGATCCTAATCAGCAAAATTTATCATAAAAGGTGAAAGACAAGACTAAAATTTATTACAATATGCACTTCCCACATAAAGAATTAGAATAATTTTAGTGAATTTTCTTTAAAATAAAATAATAATTTTCATGACTATTTATTCCAAGGTAGCTCATGATTCTTAGTAAGTTGCCCAATAATCCTAGCTAAGGCTCATTAACCTGTGACTCCTAAATTTGCAAGAACAACAACTAACAAATATTTGTCCCACTATGTGAATTTTTTTTATTGTGTACTATTAAAAGTCAATTTTTTATTAAAATCTAACAAAAAAATATAATTTCTAATACTTTCTACGCCAGCCTTTTTATGTCTACCTTATTCTTTCTTAACATAGACTGACTCTAATACATCTACTCTTCTAATCGAGTCAATAGAAAGCGAACATTTAATGCAACCAAATCATCTAAGATGACTCTCTTTAATTATCTGTCATTGGAGCTACACTAACATTTTCACATATATATTCATTTCGCTTTCTAACCCTAAGTGTAAAACAACTCATTCACCTTAGCATTTTCATCTCCACAACACTTATCTATCTTAATTTTATGTTTCTCTTTTCATGGCCAACGTTCTCTTCAATAAAGCATTGCATGTAAATTTGCAGAAAATATCAGTAAAATTAAAGTAACTGCTTTAGACCGCATTGAGCAGATATCAGAAACAAATCTCAGATTTGTAGGTCACATGAATACAAAGTGAATAAAATTAATGTAAAAGGGCTGGAAGATCTTCAAGGGAAAAAAAAAAAGATAATGAAGACAAAAGTTAAGAAAGATATTCCAATAAAACCCATTTCCACATCAAACAACACTAAATTCAGGATAGGCTTTAGATGATGACGATGATGATCATGGCCTCTGTAGCGAGCAAAGTAGCATGATATGGAAACAAAAGAGGCGAAAAAGAACTCAGTTTCAAAACTATTCAAATGCAGGGTACTAATTTTTTTACCGGTTGATGAAATTGGATTTCTAATAATTAGAGAAAACGGGGAAAAAAATAGCTGAAAGATGCAGTTGCTGCTGCTACAAGTATGAATGCTATGAACTAGTCAGACGATAAAACTAAGGTTTCATTAAGGACGGTTTACTTACTGTTTTTTAAAGAAGTTTTTTAGTTCAAAATTTTTAACGAAGCCTAATCCTGCTTGCTGTGTAACCTGATGGCAGATAAGGAAAGAAGGAATATAAATATTTTATGAAAAATTGAATGATAGGAACCTCTTACCAACTCCCACTTTCCAAGTTAAGAGTGGCCGCCATCCTACATCCAACCTTCACACTGCCCACTGCTGTGGCTTTCTACAACATAGTCTGCACCGCTGGATTATAACGACAAGTCAACAAGAATTTGTATAGAAATTAAATGGAGATTGTGACCAATAAAATCTCAAGACAGATCATTTTTCATCAACATTAATATCATCATCAGCGTCTCTTTTTAGTACTACAATAAAAAAAGCAGGAACTTCACAAGAAAACAGTTGCAGCCATGTTGAAAGAACAAGATGGCAGCGCAGGAATACCACCAAACCAAATATCTAAAAATAAGAGTATGTCAGCCATGCAAATAATTTGATTATGAACCTATAAAAGAAATTATGGACCATAAGAAACAAGAAATAAGACATGCCTCCCAACCAAATTTTGGATGACAGCATCAAGTGATGAAAAAAAAAATCATGATATCCTAAACAAATCTTTAAAAGAGACGAATGCCAAAGACATTAGTTTTATTTTAAAGTTCTTATATTACACTCATCTTAGAAGAAATACAGTGAGTATGAGATAGATCCTATAAAAATATCCTAACTCATATTTTTTTTTCATCGACTGATTCGATGTTACATTTACCACCATTATTCTTTTATTTTAGAATATTCAATAAATCAAAGTGAAATATTGTGACAACTTTTATGATGGAGAAGAGTTTCGCTTGAAGTAAAGAAAAATGATTGATGAGGTTCGAAAATTTTAATTAATTTTTCATAAATACCGTCTTATGCACATCCAAATTCCGAAGAACATTAAAAAAACAAAAAAAATCCAAAGAACATTTGCAATTTCCTTGAAGTTTCCTGTACACCAATTTCAAAATTCCAAGGAAACCTAAAAACAGATCACAAAGACGGATACATACGATCAACGATTACAAGAGCTATGCCTTCAAGCGCAAAGAGGTTCTTGGTAAGCTTAAGATAATAGACCTTAATTGTGGACTGGACAGCAGAATTCAGCATCAATAAGTTGATTCCATACGAACTCAGAAAAGTTTAGAAATGAGCGCAAAAAGTGTTTGAACTCCAGAATATAATAATTTCAATTTGAGTAACTGCCTGCTACGCGAAAAAAGATTTTTTGGAAGGTTTAGTACAAAATAACTAATTAAGATTTGGAAAATATAAGTAAGCTAAATTGAAAAAAAAATGCAAATAAAATAACCAGAACTTTCTCTATAAAGAATTCATCTATTGTGCATTGAATTCCAGCAGGAACTTAGAGATGAGAACAAACGTGAGTGTACCAAACATGGGAAATTATCATAAGAATTAACTAAATACAAATCAAGAATAAGGGCTACAAAACTAAATTATGTCCGAAGGGTCTACTAAATATCTCTTAAACATACTACCAGGAAGCCTTTTTTGTCTGCCCGCACCAAATCAGTATGGAAAGAAAAAGCTCCTAAACTACCAATCAAAATCTCAGCCTTGATCAAGATATGCAATTCAAATGATCATGTTCAAGTGGACAACAAAGATAGCGAAATCAAATAGGCATTTTTAAGTGTGTTAAGCTTTAAAACATAGAACCATTGTTTTGAAGTGTTATAAGCTGCCAGAAATTCCTTTTACAAAAAATTCCAAGTCTTCACCTTAAAGCACTCCAGCAAAGATTTTAATGAAACCCCATTTAAAAGATAAAAAAGCATAAATTTTTATGGCAGTTGTTAAATAATCATGCTCTAAGGATGAATAATAAATTGTTCCATGGCCTTTATCCAAAATAGAAGTGGCATGTTGTGTGCCACATCAAGGAGGCCTTGCAAAGACCAATCACAATGCGAACTTATCAAAAGTAAGAGAAGGCACATAGTTAAAAAAGGAAAATATTGGTTAACGCACAAATATATAGTCCATATTCATATTAACTATCAAAATGTGCACCTCTTAAGTTGTCCACACGGGCTTGCTTAAGCATGGTTATAAAATTCACCTTTATTCTCCTACGCATGATTTGGAATGTCATCTTTCTTGCTACAACATCATTCAAATTACATTCTTATATCCGCTACAAAAATTATCATAAAGATGAATCTTCTACTATGCTATTATCTATGGAGCATTGTCGAATACTGATGGAAGGAAGATACTTTAAATGTAAAATGAAAGAAAAAAAAATGTTTTGACCAAGAAAGGAATAATTTTTCTGTCTAAAATACTAAATGACAAGAAACTGTACTTTAGTAAACTAGTTCAACCATAACTTCAGCTTAATTTCAATCCACCCAAAATTTAATATTCCAAACTGTGGTGTGCTAATAAAACGTCAATCACCACTTAAAAATGGGATTGCAGCCGTTTCTAGCTTAATTATGTCAATAACTGTTGTGAGGCTATTGATTAAATGCCAACAGCTTGCTCTAAAATCCTCCTAACCTCCGTCCCTGGATCTGCGAGCTCGGCTGGAGTCTGTTAAAGTTTGAAGATGATAAGCAAAAGAAATGTTGAACTGAAGCTAATTAGCTAAATGTTTAGAAACTAGTGGTAAAATTAGATAATAAAGCACCTTTCCATATGCATTCGTTTCCTCTGGGGATGCCCCCATTGAAAGCAGTAACTGAACGACATTCAAATGTTCTCCTCTGGCAGCATAATGGAGAGGCTGATAATATTGAAAATAAGTTCAGTTATCATAAAGCATACAACCAAATGCACAAAGAATAATCAGAGACCGTATCGCCTTCAGCATCAGTTGTTGCCAGCATGCGCTGCACAAGACTAGAGTTACCGGCAGAGTTGATTAGAAGTTCAACAATCTCAGCATAGCCTGCAAAAGGTTATCAACGTCAAAAAAGATCCAAGTGTGATAATGAGCATGTATTCATGCTGACAGGAGAATGTAGCCTCTATTCCCAGTAATGTAGCTTTCACAGTACTTGCATTTTTTGTTTGCTACTGTGCTATTCTTCCATTTTGGTTGCTCTTACAACTGATTTCTGGATAAGGTGTTACATGTTTTTAGCAAAGTGGCAATCAGATAGGGTACGAGTTTCATGTTTTTTGAAATGATAGATCCTCCTCTCGAATTGAGGATCAACTCTATCTTGATATTTTCTTTCCGTTCTACTTGATTCTTCCAATAAATGAATAAAATTATTATTTTTCTGGTTTTCATTGGAGTTTGGAGGAAATTTCTCACTGTTTATTCAAAATTGATAGGGTTTACTTGAAATCTTCAAGTGTTTCCTATCAGATTTCTCAGCTTAAATTGATGCTTATCTTTCAGCTTTAACTAAAAATTGAGTAAGCATTGTGTTGGGTTCTCATCTAAGCCAAACTTGAACAACGATCAACCACTATAAAAAAATTAGCATGCTTACGCAATGTTTCTGAACCCAACACAATGTTTGCTATGCTATTCGTACATTTTTTGTTGCACTTACACCTTACTTACAAATAAGGTGCTATAGGAGTGTAATGAATTGTTCATTTAAGCTTTTTACAAGTTTGGCTTATAAGGAAGAGTGCGATGTATTTGAATAAAACTTATGAGATTTCTCAACTAGTGTTAATACTTATTTTTTAGGTTTAAACTTAAATTGAATTGATTTTCTGATAGGAAATACTTGAGTTCGCAAGTAACCCTAAGGTAATACTTGAGTTCGCAAGCAAGCCTAACCCAAATTGGATAACAAACAGCGACTGGATTGCTGTCCACAGCAGGAAAACACAGCAAACTGCTGTTTATAGCAGTAAAACAGCAGAATTTCAGAGGAAAACTGAAAGAGAACTCAAAGCAAGACTTGTATTCCACTAGACGATGAATAAAATAGCAAAGATACAATCGTTCTTCAATTCGAGTGGAAGAACAACTCTCCAAATCTCCGGCAACGCCAAGAGCCCAAAGCAAAAGAACCCTAGATCTCAAATTGCAATCAAATTCAAGATAATCCATAATTCCATCCTAAGCACCTAATTAACCATAAATGAGACATACAAAATACCAAAACAGTGCTTTTCATTCAAAATTTCCCTCCCAAACTAATTTTTACTCAAGCATGGGCCCACCCTGGTGTAGTACCGAACCGGTCTCGGATGGACCGGTCCAGCCAGACCCAGGAGGGGTCAGCGTAACATTTTCATCAAGGCTTTTCACAAGTGATTTTCATCTAAGCTTTTTACAAGTTTGGCTTATAAGGAAGAGTGTGATGTTTCAGATAAAGCTCACAAGATTTCACAGTTGAAGTTAATACTTTTTTTTTTTTTTTACAGTTGAAGTTAATACTTCTCTTTTAGGTTTAAACTTAAATTTCATTGATCTTATGCCAATCATATCTACTAACCAATAAATGAGAAGGCTATAAATAGATGTTTTGAGGCATAAAAATTATTATTTTTCATTACATTAAAATTTGTTATTCTAGTTTCAATCTTGTGTAGGAAGTAAGATGTGAGATTCCTTTGAGTGCAATGCAAGTGTGACTATTGTGATCTTAGGAAGTCATCTCCTTGTACATTCATTAGATCAGGATTTTTTCTTTGGTGAACTATTTCCTAGATCTAATTTTTTTTTCTAAATAATTTTTATTGGCTTGATAGTGCTTTTAATTTTGTTCAAATTTGGCACAATTGAGATTCTATTTGTGACGATTAAATTACAACTGCCCGTTGATTGTAAATGTTTCAAATTTCTTGCTAATTTCTTGGATTTACTCAATTGTTACATTATTGTTTGGGTTCTCTTTCTCATGTTTACTAATTACATATAAAGAAAATAAATTGTTGAATTATTTGACATTTTAAGATCAACAAATCATAAATTCTCTTATATGATTACCATATATCGCATAATTATTAACCCAAAATCACCCTGCATCACATCACATATTCATACACGCACCAAGAGTCTAGCTATTGATAGACAATTTTTATGTCCATAACACTTTAACACAAAATTATTTTTTCTAAAGGGAGTACGGAGTTTTACCTCCAGCACAAGCATCATGAAGGGGGATTGCCCCTTCATCATCCTTGATTTCTGAGTTAGCTCCTCTTTCCACCAACAGCTAGGAACAAAATTTGATTAGCATCTCATACACTTAAGTTACTAAAAATAAGACCCAAAAAAAAAAACAATGACATAGATTCCTACCTGGACGCAAGAGAGGGAGCCATATAAGCAGCACAAATGCAGAACAGTTTCACCATCTTCTATAGGATCATTGATACTTCCAATATGGTTATCTGCATTTCATAAACAAAGCTTTTACACTTCTAATAAGTAAACTATATTTACTTATAGTACATGGAGAAAAAAAAAATCAATTCTTTAAGAGAGAGAAGCGTGAAAGTAACACTTTAGTCGAGGATAAGAATTAGTCTTAAGGGTTGTTTGATTTGCTGAAAAATAAATGCAATGTATTTGAAAAGTTTTGAATTATTTGGATGAGTGTAAAACAAATACAAGTGATTATTTTTTTGTTTAAAGTAAAATAAATGTAGTGTAAAGCTTCACAATGGCGGTAACCATTGGCCAGCAAACAATTGCAGCAGTGGGTGCTGGCCGACAATAGTGATGTAAATATGTAATGACCCTTAAATTTATATAAGACATGTTTTGACCTACAATAGTCAAATAATAATTCAAGAGTCATTATAAGTACAATTTCCAAATAATCTTTGTCATATGATAGATAATGATGTGCTCTAATTCTAATAATATTTTTTCTAATTTAATAGGCAATGTAGATATGAAAACAAGAAGCTTCCTATTTAATTGCAATTCTTTAAGAAATTGACACATGTCATGTTGGTACAAGTAAGTTTTCTAGGACCGTTAGGTGTCCATTGCAAACTGATTTCACCAGAGCATTATAGACATGTTGGATTATTTTATGAATATTTTTTTCATAATTTTTTAATCCCCAAATTTTAAGATATAAAAGAATGTATAAAAATTATATAGTAAAAATTAAACAATTGGCATCATTATATTTATATCCTTAATATATTTTATTATAAAAATCTCTTTCCACTACATAACTCTTCATACGACTTTTTTCCCTTTCTTATTCGTTTTAACCATAGAAAAGAATAAAAAAATGAAAAGAAAAGTGAGGAGAGAAAACCTAGAGTTTGAGAGTCGTAGAGTTTTTTTGCCAGTCGGTCTAGTTGGAAAATTTGCTAGTCTCGAGGTTGGTTATCGTTACCCGGCCTCTAATTTCAATGATTTTGCTTATTTTATATTTTCTTAATTTTACTTTGATCAAAATTTGCAAAAATTGCTACATCTCGATTTAACAAACTTCCACCGTATACTTTTTAATACATTATAATTTTATACATTCTACAAATATTGAAAGAAATATATTGAATTTTCACATGGTATTTTTGTATTTTGGGGGAATACCTAATTTGGGGAATTTAGATAAATATGAAAATTAGATAAATAATTGTCAAAATCTCATAATATCAGTATATAACATGCATACTTGCTATAATTCATCAATTGTGGTCATTACATGTGAAAATTAGTATATTGATTTTTCTTATGAATGTCACTAGTTATGATTCATATGTATATTTTATATGCACTAGAATGATATAACGAGCTGAACATTACGCATAATATCACTTGTTTACTATGTTATATGTGATATGAAATGTGTTTGTATAAGAAAGATTGAATATAAATGATTGACTGATTTAGGCTGGTTGGAGACATGTTATCATGTGCAGAAAGGTGGCCGACAAACTTTCTTTTAAAATAATGTTTGTGATGTAATCCTAAATGATATAAAAAAGGCATAATAAGACATATTGATATGATATGATATGCCGGCGGGCAGAAAATGATTACTTTTAATATGACTAATGACATTTCAAAATAATCTCACTTCTATGTATACGTTTGAAACTATCTAGACTAAACAAAACACTAAATGTTCATTTAGTGTACTCTTCCTTAAAATTCACATTAATAATTCAACACTTTATATGGGTATACATGTATTTAATTCTTTTAGCACTCCATGTATGCATATTTCCTCAACACTTTCATGACTAGATGATACAATCAAGGTGCTCTGTCCCTTCAGTTTTTGTTCATTGTCTGCTAGGTTGTCTCTTTGTGGGACTTGTTTTCCTCAATTTTTCCCATTGGCAACTGCCCCTTTGGTTTGGGTTGCTGCCCCTTTGGTTTAGGCAGTTGTCCCTTCGGTTTTTGTGCCCATTGGCTGGTGTTTTGATGCTTCATTTTCCCCTAGGTTGTTGTCCCTTCGGTCCCTGTTTGCTGCAGCTTTTAAGGAGTTTCTAGTGGTTGTTTGGGTGGTGCTTTAATTAACTTGCATGAAATATTTTTTATCTTTTTTCTTCCCTATAAATGGGGCTGTTTTGTGGTAGTTTTAGGATATTTTCTAAGAATTCCCTCCCTCCCCCCTTTCCTCAATCACTTTTGTCAAATTCGTCCCCTATTTTTCCTCCTCCGCCGATCCTCCACTTCATAGGTTGTCTCCTCCTCCCCATCACCCTCCTCTCAATTGTTTCTTCTTAATATCTTTGCATTCTTCACTTCATTTTTATTTATTTTTATTACTATCTCGCCAAATTACCTTCTCTTTATTCATGATCATTTTCTCTCCTAAACCCCAATCATAGCCACATTTCTATTCCCTTTAAAAATCTACAAAATATCCAATATTAAGACCATAAATTTAGCTTCAATTCACGCCAAACTACCTAAACACTCACTAGAAAGATCTAGAAAAATATTTGCATGACTAAAATTAGAAAACAATGAGTCCCCTACACTACATTTGTTGTAGTAACAACCTATGCTCCCACTGCATCAATTATGGTGTCAAAGGGAAGCCTAAACTTACAATTAGTACTCCTATAAGCTATGATGCACGGACACGGAAACGGCGACACGGACACGACACGACACAGGAAACGGTAATTTTTAAAAATATAGGACACGGGTGCGGCGTGGACACGGCATAATGTTTTTTTATATAATATATAATAATTTTTAAAAATATAGGACACGGACACGGCGTGGACAGATGGCTCTTTTGAACTTTCACCTAATCCACCCCCGCTAGTAGCAGAGCTCATTTTGCTAACAAATCAATCATACGTATGAATAAACTAAATTAAATTGATATGAAGTGAAATCAAAATATCAAAATAATAAGACAGCATGAATACAACAATATACCAGTCTGCCGGGGGGTCCAAGGGGGCGCTGCCCCCTGGCGGGGTTCGACATGCCCGGTCAGGTCGCGGGGTCAAGGGGCAGCGCCCCCAGAACAAAAGTTTATTGTAAGAGTAATTTTGAAGTTCTGCTTGTTTTTAAAGTTCGTAAGTTGTTTGTATGGTAAGATACCGAGCATGTACCTAGCAGTACCGAGCATGTACCTAGCAGTACCGAGCATATACCTACCAGTACCGAGCATGTACCTAGCGGTACTGAGCATGTACCTAACAGTACCGAGCATATTCCTAGCAGTACCGAGCATGTACCTAGCGGTACCGAGCATATACCTAGCAGTACCGAGCATGTACCTAGCAGTACCGAGCATGTACCTAGCAGTATCGAGCATGTACCAAGTGGTATCGAGCATATATTGAGCAGTACCGAGCATATACTGAGCGGTACCGAGCATGTACTGAGCGGTACCGAGCATGTACCTAGCGGTACCGAGCATGTACCAAGTGATACCTCATTTAATAACCGAACATGCATGTCCGATTTTAATTTTAATTTTTTAAATTGCGACACTCCAATGCCGTGTCGGACACGTGTCCATGCCGTGTCCGACAAATGTCCGACACTGCATACCCTCTTTAAGTGCCGTGTCGGTGCATCATAGCCTATAAGCCTTTATCCTTTCATATGTAATATTTTGAATGGTGTTTCTCTGTGTCCAATTGATCTCACTTATGAAGGCATATGATGACATTGTAATATAACCATTAGAAATAAAAAATCTCATCGATAACCTCTTCAAGCAAAAAACGTGCTACCAAAACTCCCTTGGATATATTCATAACATTATCAAACTATCTTTGGATGAAAATTTTATCCCGGACAATAGCTATTTTATTCGTACAATAAACAAAAAATGACATTGATTTGTTTGTCGGGACACTGGAGCACTTCTAGCTAAGGAGATTTTCCAATCACATCATCAAGGAGAACGATACTTCATCCAAGAAAAATTTATAGCAAAAGAACTTTTGATTGACGCGTCTAATAGATATAATTCTTAGCTTTAAATTTTGGATTAAATTAATAATGACTAGCAAATCTCATGCCATGCTTAAAAAAGTCTACCAAGGAAACTCCATATATCTATGAGTTAAGCATCCATTGCAAACCCATTCCTTAATAAGCTTGAGTGAATTATCTCCTCTTCATGCTGAGAGAGAAAGATGCATCATGAGAATAAAATCTATTTTTTGCAAACAGCATAAACAAAAGTTTAGTATTATCTTCAAAATCACATGCACTGAGTTCATATCAATGAAATTTGATTATTTCATGTATTTATGTATTATTATCAACATAAAAGTATCATCCCATTTAGGTTTTGCATCTTGCTAGTTACCTCTTTACATTCCTAGCATATTTATTTTATCTCATTGCATGCAGATAATTTCATCATATCAACATGACCATGGAACTCAAAAAAGGAAAGTGTATTTAGACCAAAGATTAGAAACTTTAAATGTGATATTTAATAAAATTATGGCTAGGTTTGATGAACCATAGTAATCAAATTGATTCTCTAAATAGGATCAACTCTAACATTAAAAACTCATTGGGGTAGATCTAAAACATTTGTTAATAAGTCACTCATACATCCTTAGCAAAGTTTAAGCCTCAAGCATGCCATAATCCATTTTATCATATTATTGTTAAGGAAAATATTGATTGCCTTAGTCTTGTCAAATCAACACTTGCCCTAATATCACCTAAGGTTTTCTATCCATAAATATATAAGCCCCAAGAGATGTTACATGTTGTTGATCTCATAAATTCCCTTACAAGATGATTTTTTAATCATATTAAAGATATAAAAGACCATAAGCTCTTTCCAATGATAATATAAGATAAAATCTCCTAGAAGTTGATTATTTAGTTTAACCTAAACTTGAATTTCAATTAAATCAAAGGTTGCCTAAAAAAATTTAAAAATAAATTAAAATTAAAAAAAAAAGTTTCCTTTAAAGGTGCACTT